TAAAAAATATAAATAAATAGATAGAAGAACGAGGATACTCTCCATAATTGGAAGTGAACAAGAACATAGATTGTTCAGACATTATAACGGAAATAAATTGGATAAAAATAAAATAGCTTTTTACTATCGATAGTCTCGGTTCTTTCATTTTTCATATTATCATTCCCTCTTAACCCCCTTTCGCATTATTTTTAAACAATTTTATAAATTAGAGCACAGACTAATTTACAATCGATCGCCGAAGCTCACGAACATTAACGAAAATTACGTCAACAATGCGCAGTATGGGAATGATTTTCGTGGGATCGCGTGTAGCACAGTATAACGATAGTAATAATTCGAGGAAAGTGATTACTTGCGAAGCAGAAGGGTGGAGTTGTACAAAAAACGAAAATACAACGATGGCTATTAACAGTATTAACGTGATTCAAACTCTCTCGATTTCTTCTTGTCATTTTTGCAGCTAGTGAATATTTCTTTCGACATAACAATTGTCTAAAATTGCAAGACAACATCTCAGACTGCACATAATATTTATTATAAGATATTTAGAAAATATTTATAAATATTCATAAGATTTAATTTAAATATTTTGTAAATATTTTTGTGGTCTTAGATTGCATAAGTCATAAACATTTATTATAAATATTATGAAATATTTATTGTAAATATTATAGTAAATACTATGAAAATACTTAATGAGATATTATAATCCAAGTAAAAAATATTTAGAAGTTACAAATATTTAGAAGTTACCGATTCATACGGAAAGAAAAATTAATTTATATCTTTGAATCTATATCGAAATTGAATAATGCTGAATGAATGTCTCAAATAATACAAAATAAAATATATATCTTAAATAAGGTGCATGTTTTATTTTTAATTATACAGAAAATGAAGAAATCGTGATTTTTGTCATAAAACTTATGGTTTGTACGAATATCACAGACATATTGATTCTTATTGATCAATGTAGGATGTCCCGGGGTGTGTCACGTCGCGTGTGACCTCGAATTAACGATTATTTGCAGACACGTGGATGAAAGGATTCAAGTCGTGTCAAAAAGAAACCGAGACAACGAAAGAGGATGTAATCGCATAGAATCCATTTGAAATTAAAGTTCAGTAATATTTCAACAAGTTTCTGAGCTTGCATGAAAAAATCTTGACTCATATAAAATCTGAATTGTATAAAATTCAGGATTTAAAAGAGGTGTCATATTTTCTTGTCTTCGTTATAAACGAAGGATTGTAAAAAATCAGATTAAATGCATTTCGTTGACTGAGCCATTTAATCCTCCTATCTCTATTATTTCGTAATTAATAAAGGAAGGATTTCGTTCGCAAACCGCAGTGATTTTCGGAGTGATTTTTTACGTAAATGAGTTTCAACGATCTTTCCGGGTCACTGAGCTTTTCATTACTCGCGTGACTCAGGGAGATCTATGATCATTTTCAAAGACAGTAATTGGTATCTTTTGCCGTACATAGGTGGGTCCGTCGTCATCCCCGTCGCAGTTGCGACCATCGGTCAGTCGACAGTCGGTTACATTTAGTATTGTTGAATGCCAGCAGAACGAGGATCTTGTTGAAGAAGATCAAAGATCTCAAAACGAACGCATGAATACGAGATTTCACAGCGACACGCAGCGCATCTCTATCGCTGGTTAGTGAAGATAATTTTCTCTTAACGAAGAAACGCCAAGGCATATCAATAATCTTTGAGTGACATGCGATTGAGGATGGAGAACTTTGTTCAAATTTCTTTGAGTCTATTTCGCGTTTAACTTATGACAATTTTCTATGATCTAAGAAGCGACATCCAAGCGAGCGAATCCGAGCGGAACCTCACCGGCTCCAATGAAGAAGTCAACCGCGAACAGCAAGGAAAATGACAACGAGGATGATTACTCGGCGTCAGTTTGCGCGATTATGCAACAGCGAAATTCGACACGACGACAAAGTCGGCGGAAACGACGTCCATCGTCGCCGTTCGGCGTCGACAACGTCGACGGTGTCGCGCGCCGTCGATCCTCGGTTTACACGACGAGCTCGGGAGAGTTAGTATTTGCGACTTTCAAAAAGCTAGAGTGAACTCAAGTCCATTATTTGTGATGTCTTTATTTTATCGTAGAAATTGCGAGTTAGAATTAAATTAATTGTTTAATTAAAATAAAGCGGTATTTAAATCTCGCAGATTGTGTGAAGTTTATTCGCGCTCTAGTTCCTCATAACTGATGAGCTTCTTCACACTGCTAACATCATTGTAGCAAGAAAAATACGAGTAGCATTTCACACTGAATATTATATGTGCAAAATTTTATTTATTACTAAATATAATATTCTAAAATACCTAGTTTCTTTATATAATTTTGAAGTTTATCTGTACATTTTACACTAAAAAGATAAATATAAAAAAGAAATCACATAATAATAATTAATAACAAAAAGTTACTCTTATCAAAGTCGTATAAAAAGATATATTCTAAATAACATTAGAAGATTCATCTATTTTATGATTACTTCATTATAATATTTTTGTTATCAATCTCTTATCGGAATTCTATCTCAATCACCGAATTGCTACAATGATTAGCACAACATTTAAAATGGTTATTAATTGAAGTCTTGGATTATAATAATAGCACGGTAATTACGATGGAAGAAAGCAGTAATCAGGAGCAGATTTTTGAGAATGTCAGTGTGCACAAAGAAGTTCTAAGTGCTATAAAGCAACAACCTTGGCCTCTCCGACGAAAGATCAAGCTCATACGGCAAGCTAAAGCTTATATCAGACGACACGAAGGCGCTCTGCAGGAAAGACTAGCTCAAAGTCACAACACTAAAGATATCATAGCACGCGTATCGCTTTTCATGACTAAGGTAGTGATTATGTTATCGTAAAAATTATAAAATTTTAAGTGATACATATTATTTAAGTAAAACATTGATAGCAGCAAGGATCGTAACTGTTTTTCATCTATTTAGAAATGGCAGTATTTCCGACGTGAGTTGGTCAATTTGCAAACGTGGCTCATACCTTGGGAGGTCCGTATCATGGAAATAGAATCGCATTTCGGTTCCGCTGTTGCATCCTACTTCATTTTTCTCCGTTGGCTCTTCTGGATCAACCTCGTCATCGCAACAATTCTTACGGCGTTTGTTGCGATACCTGAAGTAAGATAATTCCAGTTAATAAAAATGACATTTTTGCTTTCAGGACAATTCATCTGTATTGACAAGATACTTAATATATATGATAACTTTTTTTAATTCTTTGCTAGGTATTGACCGCAAACGTGACTCTTGCCGGCGAGAGAAAGATTATGCTGCAGGAAGAGGCCATCAAGTCGAAGGATCTGTTAACTTTATGGGAATTCGAGGGTGTCTTAAAATATTCCCCATTTTTCTACGGATGGTACACCAATCAGGACTCGAACAGCAATTACAGATTACCACTGGCGTACTTCGTCACCAATCTGGTCGTGTACATATACAGCTTCGTCGCAATTCTGCGCAAGTACCGGCTATGCTCTCTTCATGTTGTTGAATCTCATAGCGTCTTTTACTTTTAATTGACAGTGGCATTTTTTCAACATCTTTAGATAAAGTTATTTAAATTATTTAAAGTTATTTAGATAAAGTTAAAAAAATTCTAACTTTAAACAAAATTAAAAAAATTGACACGTAATGTCTCTCTCTAAGGAACATACTTTACATTATTTCTTGAAGAAAGATGTGTTGCGAGCGTCCATTAAATAGAAATATATTATAAAATTATCTTTCGTTACTTCCGGAATTCCCATGATATATAAAAGTTAAAAAGTGACGAGGCAAGCACGTAAATACCTTGTTTCAGAATGGCAAAGAACTCGCGTTTGAGTAAACTGACCGAAAAGGAAGACGAATATGTCTTTTCATGGAAACTCTTCACGGGATGGGACTTCATGATTGGTAATCCGGAAACCGCGCACAATCGTATAGCCAGCATCATGGTGGGTTTCAAAGAAGCCTTACTGGAAGAAGCAGAGAAGCAAAAGGACAAGAGAAAGTGAGTTCTATACTTATATTTTAGATGAACATTATGCAACTACAACTATTCTTCTTTAGATTTTTGGTTTTACATATTCTTATAGCGTTTTCTCTTGAGGTACACTGGGTGCAGCCCTTGCACCGTATCAGTTACGTGTAAGCGCTAGACTCAGCTACACTACACTAGAGTGATGTACATTACATTATTATTGCGTTAAAACCCTATTCCCACTTGATTTCCATTTTTAAATTTTAAATGTCAGATTGGCTCTACACCATCCCTTTGAAACGGTGTAGCGAAATCCCACTTCGTGCATAAAATTTGCATTACACCGTAATCACGGAAACACGGTATATTGTCTGAGTGTTGCACTAATGGGTGATAATGCAGTCAAGAGAAAACATTATTTTATATATATATATATATTTTATATATATATATACTGTTTGCTCTGATCAGAAATTTTGACAGAGACCATTCTTGATGCAGAAATTATCCTTCTATTTTTCTAGAAAAGATTGTGATTAAAGAATACACTGAAAAAAGAAGTGTTCATTTTTTAAATATTAAAATATTTTGTTCTTGTCTCCATTTTTTTAAACATTTAAGTTTTAGTTATAAACTTTTTCAATAGACAAAACTGTGTATGTGTGTGTGCTTGGATTTAAAACACTATGCGTTTTGAATCCAAATACGTAGTATTTTGTTTATTAAAATAGTTTAAAGATGCAATTTTATGCAGCAGCAGTAAGAAAGCTGGCTTTTTACTCCTATTTCGTTACAATCAAAGCAACAAAAAGCAATAAATAGCTTCAAAAGCTATTCGCTCTTCTTCTGTTTCTTTTTCTCATGAAGCATATCTTCTTCGCTGGTTTTAAGTTAACGAATACACTCATTTATTTTCGCTAGCTTTTAATTCATTTCAATACAAATGGATTACGAAAATGAGAATAAGTAATTTTTCTGATTCAATTCAATTTACTTTTAGTTCTTCTAACAGTCACGAACTTAGTTTACAATTATTATATATATATCTACATTCACTCTCATTCATTCTGCACTCTCTCTACTCGTAACTTAGCTTTTTCCTTTCTTTTTTTTACTTATTCCGTTCATCCTCTTAATTACACCTGAATCACGCTCATCGCTTATAATCTCTTTTATATATTTAGTCTATTTTCTATTATATACTTCTCATTCTATTACAACAAGAGTTATTTGTAATTTTTTTTATTTCAAGCAATAATTTTCTAGATATAAGGGTTTAAATAAAGCCAGTTACAGACTACATTTAGATGATCATCTGTAAGTGTGATAAAATTAACGCTTATTAATGTTAATGTTGTATGTAATTCATGGATAGGTATATACTTTGTATAAACAAATCGAGTAGGTACAATAAAAATTACAAAATATTACAAACGTCGATTGTAGGCCGCGCTTTCTTCCAGAATTGTCTTGCCATCGCTGTCGCTAGTTAATTATAGCAATCATCAATAAGACGTTTAAAGAATCCTGCTAGCTGTCCAAGGTTGAGATCTTTTTGCCTGAAATTGAAATGTGTAGGTATTCATGCCCATTATCTTCCTACTCCTCACTTTATTACTGTTTTGTCATAGCATGCTTGGTCTCAGGAACGGCACTAGTCTGAAATCGTTAAAAGTTTTTAACTTGTGTTTTTCACTATCTCTATAGGCGTATAATATTATTTAATATTAAGTAATATTAATATTTTAAACATATTCTTAGAATATTAAATTACATTTAATATACTATAAAGTATGTTTAATAGTATTCTGCTACTAATATTATAAGATACAATTATTCATATTTTTATAGTTAAATATATTATAAATAATTGTATCTTATAATATTAGTAACACAATACTTTTAAACATAGTGAAAGGCACAGGTCAAAACTTATAACGTCAAAACTTATAATTTCAAACTAGTGTCGTCCCTGAGACATCGCGTGCTACGACAAAACAGCAATGAAGTGAGTAGAAAATCGTGTAAATACCGATATATTTCAATTTCAAGTTAAAAAACTTCGACCTTGAACAGTTTTGTTGTAGACTATACAAAAAACGATATTATATTGTCTTATTAGAAAAAGTTGGACATTGATGTTATTAAAATAAAACGCAATCTATAAATAATTCTAATCTTATTTATTTATAAAATAGTGACCGTGTATTGATACAAACAAATATTTCCCAAAAAAATATTCTGCCGATAAGCAGGGAATTGCTTTTAATATTTCTTCTAAGTAAAAATTCTTATTGTATTATATTAATCTTACATTAATCAGGTGCGTGTATTTATAACAGGTTCATTTATAAAAATGAGGACACATAAGCTATGAAAAATAAATTCCTCTATAGAAAATTCTATTATAATAACTCAAACAGCCTTTTATAAGAGGATATACAAAATATTAGTAGCACGCTTATTTGTTAGAAGAAGTTTGTCATTTACAGTACGCGTGCATGTAAGATATTCTTCTAGTATTGAGAGGATTGCAATCCTAAATCCAGTACTTTATGGTTATATAAAATTTCTTCACTTTGTAGAGTATTCTCTTGAGGTCATATAAATGAAAAATCCTCTGACATTAACACGGAATCGCTAAAGAGCAGAATATTTTTTTTTTTTGAACGAGTGGAATGATAAAGAGCATCGTTTCAAGGAGAGAGATTTTTTTTTATAGTTCCATCCTGTGCATTTTCGATATATATATATATATATA